AGGCCGCTGACCCGGAAGTACCAGGAAGTGGTCCGCTCGGCTTTTCTCTCATCCAGCTCGTCTAGTTCTGGAGGGAACCGAAAGCAGAATGTTAAGGATGTTCAGGAAGAGATAAACAACCTGTACAACAACGTCCGCCTGTTTGAGAAAGGAACCAAACTCTTCTCAGGTGACTCAACGCTGTTTTTCTAAATCACGCAAAATCACATCCATGTGGAGTCTGGAGAGCGTGGGCGGTTCTGATGTGATGCGTCGTGATTTTGGAGAAAACGTTCAGTTCAGTCGTCATTTCAATGATCTTGAATTAACAGTTTAACTCTCAAAAATCTTCTTTAATTAGCATCCACTGAAAATGGATGATGTCACCATTACAACGTTTACATTGCTGCATGTCACGTATTGCTGCTCTTTGAGATGAATGTAGAAAAGAACGTCAACAAATAACCCAGCCATCACTCTGCGTAACCGATTAGCCGCGCTTTGCTAATTTGTCACATTTCATGACTTGTTTTTCTGACGTTTTTCTGACTGATAATAAACAGAAAACGACACGTCAGAGTTTTAATTAAACACGAGAAAATAATCTCCGAACTGTCCGCTATAAAAGGTCTATAAACCGATACCCGCTGTGTTCAGTTGTTATGGTAACCAGGGTGTTAGCTGTGACACAACATGTTTGACCTTTAAACATGCACCTTCTCTGTTGTCATGGTAACAGAGAGTCATTGTAAGCGTGCGCTCTGAGACCTCTGGATGCACCGTGTGTGTGTGCAGATGACACTCAGCTGCTGCTGATGAAACACCTCTTGCGGACCGTCTGCACAGACCTGGCCAACATCCTCATCAACTTCCTGTCAGCTGACCTCATGATGGCCACGGAGAACCCCAGCTCCATCACTGCTGAGGTCAGCACCCCCATCGCCATGGTTACAACACCAGTGGTGTTCACTGGGGTCATCTTAGCCAACATTGTGATCATCTGACCGAGATTCAAAATCTCAAAACTGACCCTGTGTTTTTTGTCCACTGTGTAACTGATCAGTGAATCAGATCATCAGTAAACCTGAACTGTGTTTGCAGGTGAGGATGAAGATTCTGGCGAAGCTGCCTGACGAAACGAAAACTCCTCTGATGAAACTGCACAACAGCCTGAACGGAAAAGTGGGTTTAGTTCTGCTCTGAGTTTGAGAGGTTAGAGTGAGGAGAGTGTAGGTCTGAGTTAATCTCTCTCTCTCTCTCTCTCTCTCTCTCTCTCTCTCTCTCTCTCTCTCTCTCTCTCTCTCGCTCTCTGTCTCTCATCCCCCCCTCTTTCTGTTTCTCTCTCTCTCTCTCTCTCTTCCTCTTTGTCTGTCTGTCTCTCTCTTTCTCTCTCTCTCTCTCTCTCTCAGAGCATTGAGGACTTCCTGTCCAGTTTGGAAGCAGCTGCTGAAGAATGTGGCCTCTTGCTGAAGAAAGGCGATAAGAAAAAAGAGAGGTGAAGATCTGAACTTTTCAGAAAACATAAATGCTTAAAAATTATAACCAAAGGACAAGAATACACAGGATAATCAATAGATAATAAACCAGATAATAAATAAACAAACCTGTATATTATTTAAATATTTAAATAATAAGCCACGTCTCCGTTTTCGAGGTGCAACATAATTAGTGTGATAGTTTGTTAAGGTAGTTTGTTTCAGCTCTGCTGTATCGGTGACTCAGTTCGAGCTGCGGTGACTCGGTGTGATCAGACCGATGTGATTAACCCTCTCGGCCCGGCTCCGCAGGCAGGCGCTTCTGCTCCACAAACAGGCTTTACTGGAGCAGCTTAGTGAAGCGGAGGATCCAGCTCTGGTTCTGCACCTGACCAGCGTCCTCCTGTTCCAGAACATCACACACTGCGTGCTGCACGCTCCCGGACGCTGCGTCCCCAACATCATCAGCGCCCTGCAGCCCAAACTGCCTGAGGTACACGACCTCTGACCTGTATGTTAAAGCGATAAATTAGCGTTTGGATCATGAGTCTTAATACAGATGTAGATGAGACGCTTTTGGTGTCTAAAGTTTGCTTCTTTACGTAGCTAAAGCTGGTGTTACACCGCGCAACTTTTACCCTGATTTAGGCCAGATTCTCAGTCTGGCTGGGTCGGTGCTTGAAAACTAACACTCCACCAACTAGCCGGGCTTTAGTCCAGAAACCCCACGGTCAAGACTGTTAACACCTCGACACGGTTTAAGTCACGAAGCTGAAGTTAGCCTCCTGCTCACCGCCTTCTTATTCCGATTTTCTCTCCCACCTTAAATGCTGCAGCAGTTCTGCCACCTGAGGCGCTTTTTAAGGTGGAGCAGAACATTTAAATAAAGCGGAGAGACAAACTGTCAAACACATATTGATGATGCTAATTGGTGTACATAAGCTTCCATTGCCTGTTAGCTACTTCAGCCTTGTGGCTTCAGCGCTAAAAGTAAAGAAGTTTCAGACACTGAACACGTCTCAGCTGATAGAGTCTAGATATGTGTGGTGGGGGTCCTGGGGGGGGCATGGAGGGTGGTGTGGGGCTGAACTGTCGCTTTAACCCAAACACGTCTCGTCTGATGGACTCTGTGTGTTTGTCCTGATCCAGGATCAGTATAAGCTGCTGCTGCAGTTTCAGGGTTTGGTGGTGAAGCGGCTGGTGCAGAGTCACAGTCAGGGGAAAAAGGCAGAGAGGGTGGAGCCAGGAGGCGGAGACAGTCCAGACGAACCGGAGTCTGTACACAAAGAGCTGAGCAGCCTGAGCGGAAACATCAAAGAGCTCGTCCTGAATCCGAGAAGAACGTCCACCGTGGAGGAGTGACCGCAGCGCCGGAAACACGCCAACTGTATGTTTCGTTTAGAGCCGCTTTGTTATAAACCAATTAGAACCGAAGACGTTTCATAATTACACATTGTGTGTTTATTGTAATTAAAGTGATTATGGCTGATTTCCTCACTGATTCATTTCAAAACAAACCCTGAAAAAAATTGTCAAAAACTGAAAAACCAGAAATTCAAACATGTTTCACAGAGCTCACGTGAACCGACGCTGAGGATTGTGGGAACTGGAGTCAAACACGAATAAAAACAACCATGTGATTTATGTTCTAACAGTCTGTTGTGTTCAAGCGTTTTTTTTTTTGTTTTTTTTTTAACGATAAACATTTTAACGGTTCAGAAAGTTTGTGAGTGAAAAATCTGTAAAAATCTTAGTTTCTGTTCAGCTTCAGCGGAGACTTTTTGGTGATTCCTGAAATTTTCTTTTTTCTTTTAAATAATGCATCTGAAGAACCTTAAAGAACCGCTTACAGAACGTCTGTCTGTTTATGATCTCAGATCTGCAGATACTGAACTTCTGAACACCTTCAGTAAAACACAGAAAACATGGAGAGACTCTTTCAGTTATTCTGCTTCTAAACTGTGGAGCTCAGTGAGTGTGCGTGTGTGTTTGTGTGTGTATGTACGAGTCATTTGTAACAGCCAGCCCTTGAAATGTGGGCATGCTGTTTGCTAAAATGGAGGAAGTGACATCATCGGCCCTGAGGAACATCTCAGACTTCTGTCCATAATGAACCTGAACCTCAAACACACCTTCACTCTATAGTGTGTGTTGCTAAGTAACGGTGTTTTTCTCTGAGCTCCTCAGGTTCCTCATTAAACCGCGCAGGAGGAATAATGATGATCTCACAGCTCTGATGTAGAACATCAGAGAACACAGTTATTTATAAACACGGACCGAAGAGATGTTTAGTTCTCAGACAGAACCCACGTTATCAGGCCTGTCTGCTTCCTATTCGCCAGAACCTTGTAACCTCTGCACCGTTTAAGGTGGAATGGAACTATGAATTTAACTCATTCTAAGTTGGTTTAGACAGCAGGTAAAGACTTTGCGTGTCAGAGATGGTGAGAGAATCCACTGCAGGCCGATTCCTCAGAGTCTGAGAGAGAACGCATCTGACCGCTTCCTCCTCAGAGACTCATTAACCCTCCTCAAAACATCTTAATGAACCTGCAGGGCATCTGCACTGAAGCAGAGATCCTTCAGTCAGACACTTAAAGGGAATCTCCATTGATTTATTCTAAATTTCTCCATAATTAAACAGTAAAGAGAGGTTCAGAGCGGTTTGGTGTGAAACGCTCTGTTCTAGAGAAACTTACCGAGTCAGAACTGTTCATAGTGGTGGTGATAGGAACCAGACGTCCCCCTCTAAAAGCTCCCTCACAGAAAGTTCCTACATGAAATGGTTATGAATTCACTGCCTGATGACTGAGACACTGTTTTATGATAGTTTGGAGAACTTCAACTCCATTCATGGTGGAGGGATACATGCAGGGCGCTGTGAGGCAAAATAGTCCCCAAAGAAAACTTATTATTTCAGATTTTCCACTATTTTCCATCATCAACATTCCATATAAACTCAGAAGACTCGTGTAGGTTCACTGGTGGTTCTGGATAGTAAATAAAATGTCTATATCTGTGTTGTAGTCATGGCGACCCCTGGTTCCTATCACCACCACTGTAAAGACATCTGAGTCTGTAAATTTCTGTATAACAAAACAAAAATAAATCAAAAAACACACCTTCCGTGTCAGAAGAGTTTCAGTCATCCAGGTTGGTTAAACAGATCATCTGCAGAAAAGCTTCATTTAAGAAAAAAATCCTCTTTAAGAAATTATTTCAGAAAACTGTCAACAATAAACAAAAGGCTAAAAACTCAGACACTGTTAAATACATGAAACGATTTACCAACATAACAAATGTTTTTATTTGAGTTGAAAATAAAGGACTAACACTATAAATTGCACATTTTCACCAGTTAAAGCAGCAACAGCACATTTTATTAACCACAACATAAAACTGTTTTGAGAGTCAGATACAAACAATCTCTGTAAACTAATCACACACAATGCACTTCTCAGAGAGGTAAACATTACAGCTCATCATTTCCCACCTTAAAGCAACAGTTCAAACAAAAACTCAGATTTCCCCAGATCACCGCACCAACCCACCATCCACCTCAAATGTAGTCAATCAGGCTGGATATCTTCTCAAAACAGACATCAATGATCTCCACACGCTCGGAGGTGAGTGATGATTCAGGCCTGCAGTTAGCACCATGCTAGTTGGTGGTGTATAAGCTTCCATTACTCGTTAGCTACATTAGCCTCGTAGCTCCAGTGCTGAAACTAAAGAAGCAAACTTCAGACACCAAACCTGTCTCAGCTGACTGACTACATTTGAAGAAAAAAAGGGAAAACTGGAGGAATCTGTTCTTTTGTCAGTGTTTCAATGAAAAAACAAAGGCCCAGAAATAGCGTTTTGGTTCTACACCACAGACCGATGTTCCCCACACGCGTAAACAGTACTGGGGCGGATCCTCCTCCGAGTGTGACCGGACAGCTCAGGCAGGAGTTTGCAGTACTTGGGCATGAGGTCTACACAGGCGTCGCGGAACTTCTTTATCCGCCAGTAGTAGATGAGTGGATTCAGGGCCGATTTGAGGTAGCAGAGCCACAGCAGCCAAGTGCTGATCTCGAAGAAGCTCCTGCTGGAGTAGAAGGAGCTGCTGAAGGTGGCCACCAGGCTGTAGGCGGCAAACGGAGCCCAGCACACGGTGAAGACGGAAAAGAGGATGAGGATGGTGGTGAAGGCACGCGTTTTGAAGCTCAAGTCAATGTGGATGTGGAAGGGCCGGCGCAGGCCCGCAAGGCCTAGCTTTCCGGCCTGGCCGAGGCAGATGGAGTCGGAGCTGGAGTGGATCTGCCGAGAGTTACGCCGGATGGTGCTCAGGATGCCCACAAATGTGTACAGCATCACGGTGAATGGGACGAAGAAGAACACCAACATGATCAGCACCACGTAGGAGTGGTATCCAGGCTCGCCTGTGTACCCAAACACGCACTGGGGGGCGCGGGGCGGAACCTGCAAGGCCGGGTATCCGACGGACAGCGGGAAGGCCAGGCAGAGGGACAGCATCCAAGACACGACGATTAGGGCCTTCGCCCGTTTCGGACTGAGCCGGTCCTGCCTCTGCACGATGATCAGGAAGCGATCCACACTGATGATTAGCAACACGGCCACGCCCTCCATCAGAAAGAGCCAGAAGAACATGGCTGACAGCCGGCAGAACGCAGCTCCAAACACCCAGCGCGTGGTGACCGTGGTGACCAGAGCGAAGGGCATGTTGAGCAGCGCCAGCATCATGTCCGCAAAGGCCAGGCTGGCCAGCAGGATGTTGATGGCGGAGCGCATGGCAGCGCGACGGTAAACCATCACACACACCACCACGTTCCCCAGAAAGGCCAGCAAGAGAACGCAGGCCATGGCCAGGCAGAAGAAGACCTGCAGAGGCACCCCAAGGCCCTGCACCCCAACCTGCTCCACATCCTGACCCACAGGAGCCACCGTCATCCACAGCGTCCTGAACCCCGCCGAGCTGTTCTCCCAGGAGAAGGAGGAGCTTTCCATGGCATGGGTTGTGTCTGGTCACCTGAGGGCAGTGGGTGGACAGAACTGGGCAGTGAAATAGATAGTGCAGTGGGCGGTGGAGCGGGCAGTGCTTGGCCTTGTGGCCGATGCACTAGCAATAGCAAACATCTCTGAACTTGGAACACCATGTTAGTCGCTGATCTCTCCGCTGACTCGCCGCTGCACACGGACTCATCTCAGAACAGAGGAAGATCCTGTGGTGAGACAGGAAGAGAAAATCAGATCATGAGTCAATCACATCAGAGCTGCCAGGCTGGGATCTTCACTGGATCACTGGCTCATTAACATACTGCACTGTTTACCAGCTTGGGCTGTGACACACAGCAGCAGCTTAGCAGCCTGAGAACTAAAACCAAGAGATCATGAGTTCAGTCCCAGCTGAAAATGTCCCTACAATAAAAATGGAAAGATTGTTTTTCTTCTCTTTTCCAAACCTGGAACGTAGTAAATCTCAGAGAACTTCTTTCTCCACACTGTAATATTTACATTCTCAAACTACTTTCCTGACTCATAACAATCTTCTGTAATCTTCTGTACTAATAATCTTCTAATGTTTAATGTTGTGGTTATGAATTTGTAATTTTGGTGGGTAGTTCTGGTTTTCTGTGTCGTCCTAACAGTGAGTGTAAATGAGGAGTTTCATCGAGAGCTGACGGTGTGAATCGCTTTCTGACCAGCAGTCATGTTGCTGCTCT